GCTTATGGGTCAACTATAATGCCCAGGCAGAGCCTCTGCTGCCCTTTTGTTGCATGGAGGCACTGCCAAGAACCAGGTAGCTGAGCTTGGCTGTACAGGATAGAACAAACACCTATTACTATCAGGGCCTAGCTAGCCAGAGTTAGAAGAAGTCTTGCCATCCGCTACCAAGTCTAAAAGGCCCAGTCATCTTTGTCTGCCAACTAATTCCAAGTGAGGACAGAGCCCTTGCTCTTAATCTCTCAAAGCACAGCCAAAGGCAGACTGCAGACACAGGGAAAAGTCACAGTCAGGCACAGTGTCTGCCAATATCCAGTAATGTTTGCCAGTTCTAAGGTGAAAAAGAAAAAGTCTTGGAACTCCCAACTGTTTAATTATCTTAATTATGTTTCTTAGGTACAGGATTAGATTAGGTATAAAATCCGTATTCACAAGGTTCCTATATCTATAAAATGTAAGCAATATACAAACTGAACCCAAAAGTGTAAAACTCTATTAATATTGTGTATGTAACATGATAGATAATGTTTTGCTGAAATGAAATTGTCTCTTGGGATGGAACTCAAGGCTCTGGTTATAACTAGGGCCAGATGCAAAGTCAAATGCAGTGCTTGGTTAACAGGGTTAACATCAGATCATTCAGAATAGGCATAGAAATATATGAATTGTTTTAAAGAATGTAATTTAAATGAGGACAAAAATGTACTTGTCTTTCAAAGAGAACTTGCAAGTACAGGAGCATTTTGTTTGCCAAGTTCATACAGAAGAAGCATTTTATCTGCCAGATTCATACAGGGCCCCAGGGTCTCTTGTCCCACCTAAAATTTAGTGAATTAGAATCTGCATTTTAAAACTAATACCTACATCTTAAAATGTATCATGAGTGTGTGTTTGTTCACATGTCTGCTGTGATGTTGCCGCAGGTCTGTGGATGTCAGATGACAACTTTCAGGCATCAGTTCTTTCCTTTTATCATGTGGGGTCCTGGGATTGGACTCAGGTCTTTACATTTAGTTGCAAGTGTCTTTATCTGTTGAGCCATCTTACCAGCCTAGAACCTGCATTTTAAACAAGATGTCCAGGTGATGGATATAAAGATTACAATTTGAGAAGCATGAATTTATTTCCCAGTTTATTCTTCATTGAGCAAATATGAAGTTGGGGCATGGTCTAAAGTTTAGGCTTGTTTTTTTAAGAGAGCATCCTGTGTATCCCAGGCTAGACTCAAACTCATCATATAGTGAGAATCACCTAGAATTCCTGATCCTCCTAGTTCCATCTGAAGTGCTAGAATTTCACACATGGGTCGTCATGCGGGGTCTTAGGTTGTCCTGAGGATCAAACCCAGGGTTTCACAAAAATAAAGTAAGCATCCTACTAACTGAGCCACACAACCTGTAAAGCAATTGTCCCCCCCCTTCCTCTTCCTCTCTTAGACAATCACTTGCTCCTTCTTTTTCAGGGATGCAGGAAGGTAGGTTTAAGATGAACTCAGAATTATCTAGGGTTGACAGTGAGTTCTGGTAGCATCTAGGTCATTTCCACTATCAAGGCTCTATTTGGGAAGCTACTGTTTATGTCAAATATCCAGAGGAGGCAAAGTATACATAGAGACAGAAAGATTATGGCTTGGTAAAGGTTTGGGGAGGAGGAAATAGAAAATGACCAGCAGGTAGGGGATGTCTTTTTGGGGGTTAGTGATGATTAGTAGTGACAGTTTTGTGGTACAGTCAGGGTTGATGGTGGCACAGCTGTAAATGGCTCACCATGCCTGGCTTTTGACATGTGCTCTGGGGAATCTGAACACAGGTCCTCACAGTTGCTCAGCAAATTTACTGACTGACTTATCTTACAGGTCTATTTCTGGTATTTTCTTGAAACCCTACTCACTTGTGATTCAAAGGTTTTGTTCTTTCCCTGTCTTTATTTTTTCCTGCTGCCAGTGTCCTCAGGCATCCTGAGGGCTGCAGAGGTGACTGAGAGGCTTTGCCTTAGGTAGTAGCAGTGATCAAATCATGAACTATCAGCAATACCCACACAGGGCTGAGTATTGTGCAGGAAGATGAACACTGTGAAACACACCAAAGGGATGTTTAAACCTAGAGCCATTTGTGTCACAGAAGGGAGAACTTATTTCTTAGTGCTTGACTCTGGTGGATTCTCTTTGATCTTTTGTTCAAGGATGAATGAGTGCTGACCAAGGTGAGATAAGAAGCATTTTAGCAATACCTCGAACAAAGGATTTCAAAATGGAGAGCCCGAGGAAAGAATATATACTTCGGGAAGAATGAATGAGTACAGGCTGGAACTGCCCTGTCCCATCCACATTCTGAGACAGGATATCATGTAGCACAGGCTGGCCTGAGACTTTCTGTGTAGCTAGGGATGTTCTTGAACTCTTGATCCTCCTGCCTCAGCCTCCTACCTGGTCAAGAGCCCATCACCAGCTGGACAAGAAAAAGTAGGAGCAGAGTGAGAATGAGAAGAAGTTGATATAAATTGTTGTCTTTGACAGTTTTGCACAGATTCTCCTTACTGGTAAAGTCATTTCATCAACATGGAGAGAAGAAGCTTTGCAGCGTGTGGGTGTTGGGGGCTGAGGACCTTGGACGTGTATACCGGCAAGTGCTCTCTCCTGAGCCCCTTGAACAAACCAACTATCTATCTTTTTATCTATTTATCTATTTTGGTTTTTCAAGACAGGGCTTCCCCCTGTAAGCCTTGGTTGTCCTGGAACTTGCTCTGTAGACCATGATGGCCTTGAACTCACAGAGATTCACCTTCCTTTGCCTTCCAAATGGTGGAATTAAAGATATTCATCACTACCACCCAGCAAAACATTTTATATAAATATGGTCTCTGGTGAGGTACAAATTGAGATTAAGAACTAACAAGAACCCTGGCCACAGAAACTGGCATTGAACCCCACTCCCAGGAAGAAAAAAGTCAAGGACTTTTGAGGTGGGTCAAAGGGTAAAGGAAAGGAATTTGCTGCCAAATCTGAAGTTCTGGGTTCAATCCCCGGGACACACATGGGATTACCAACTCTCAAACCCTGTCCTCTGATAAACAGACATAGAGGCATGCACACACACGCACAATTTTAGGTTTATACAAAATAAAGAAATGTAAAAAAAAAAACAAAAAGAAAAAACAAACAAACAAAAAAACTCAAACAACCAACCAACAGCAAAGAAGAAATGTGAGGGTCCTCCCAACTCACTCTTCCCTCATTTGACCTCAGTTGAGGTCACCCATTCCATAGGAATGTTCTGTCATCAACAAGTTTGTATTCCCCAGAAAATATTAAGAGTGTACCCTCCTCAAGGCCATGGCATGATAATACCGACCCTCATTCTTAAAATGATTGAAAGACTTTGATTTTTTAAAAAAGCAGTGTTCCTTGCACACAGAAAGCACCTATCCTTTGTTTTATCCATGAAATGCCTTTTGCTTAGGCTTTGTTTTCGAGGGCCTATATTTAGGAGAACTGACTGAAAACTGCACTTCAAAGCCTATAATCTCTATTAGCACTTCGTTGGGACGACCTGATGCCAGGAGGTCGAGTTTCCCCACTCTGCGCTATTGCCCCTCTTTTGTATTCCTAGAGCCCGTCAGTAGGTACACCCCAGAAGAGGGAGGAGGGGCAGGACTGACAGTCAAGGAACCAATGGCTGCCTGGCGATGGGGTGTGGACACGGAGCCACGCCCTCACCTCCCAACCCGCTAAATCCCGCCTCTCTCGCACCTGTGAGTGCCACTGCTTCTAGGCAGGCGCCCGCGCTCCGAAACTGGGTAGGAGGAGCAAAGGGGGCGGAGCAGGGGCGTGGCTTCACCTCTCGCGAGACCGCCTCCTGTTGCCGAGGCCACCGTTCCGGGGCTCTGACTGGCCGGGGGCTGCGCAGCCGCCATGTTCGGTTGCTATGCTGCGGCCTCGGAGACGGGGTGTGCTTGAGAGAGGAGGAGGAGACGGAGGAGGCGGTGGAGGCGAGGGAGGAGGAGGAAGGAGAGGAGGAGGAGAAGAAGGAGGCGGGTGACCGAGCTTCTCCTTTGCACTCTCACACAGAGCCGCCTCCCTGGAGTCACCCACCGCCTCACGCCGCGCGTGCTTCCCTGCTCCGCGGACACGACATTGTTCTTTAAGACTCCCGAGACCTGTCAGAAATCGGGGCTCCGGGACTTGAAAGAGACTTGACTTCGGCCCGCGGGCCCGCGGGTTGCGGGGACCGCGGCACTTTTGGGGCGCGTGTGAAGGGATTAGCTCATCTCGCTGCGAGGTGCGAGCGCGCGCCTCCCCGCGCACGCCGGCCCCGCCGCAGCCCCGCAGGATGACGGGGTGCAGGCGGCCCGCGGCCGTGGCGCGGCCGCTGTGGCGGTGGCTGTTCGCGGGGCGCTGAGGGCAAGCAGCCCGACGCGGACCACGCGCCTCTTTCCCCCGGCCGCGAGCCCGGGGCCTCCTGGCTTTTTGTATTTGGATTTTTTCCCTCCTTTCTCCAGCCGAGAGGACGCGGCTGTGATAACGAAGGTAAGAGAGGCGCTCGGGGAGGTTCTTCGCTCGGCCTGCTTGGGCCCCCTTTGCAGGTCGCGGGCGCGCACCTGAAGCTCGCGGGCCAGGTGGCCAGACTACCGGCTCGACTTTCCTTTTCTTAGTGGGTCCGGGCACTCGAATCTTCCTGGGGTTTACAGTTGAAATCTCTGCTAGGGATGAGTGCAGGGGAGAAGGGATGGAATAGATGCGGAGATGGAATGTTCCTAAACTCAAGGTAAGGCTGGGGACTCTTCAGCATTTCATTTGTGGGATTCTTTTTTCTAATTATTATTGTTAGGTTAATTGACTCATATAAGCATCTTTATTTTTTTTTCCGCATGCGGTAGGAACACACGCTTCCTTCCATTGAACTTGAAAGTCTCTTGTGACTCGCTAGTATTCTACTTGCTTTTAGGAATCTGTAGTTGGGCCCAAAAAGTTGAGATGTAGAACAGATCTGAATCCTTCTCTTAGATTTTTCATGATTCTTTGGAATCGTCCCCACCTTCATGATGTTTAGATACAATGTGAGTCTGTAGTAAGGAACAGATCGGTGCTTGTGGGGTTTTGTAAAATGTAAGCGCAGTGATTTGTGGCTTTTTGGCATTACATTTTTGTTTCTGTGTTAATGTTTGTTTTATAGTTACTTACTGGAAAAATAGAGTGTATGATTGTCCTTTGTGGAACTGTTTTTACCAAACCGTAGTCACCTGAACCAGAACGATTTCTGAAAATCAGTTCAATTCAGAGATGAGAGGGGGAGTGTTAAATGCATGTATGGATGCATTTGCTGGGCTTTCTTAAATAATGGAATAATTTTCAGCTTCACTGATAATACATATGGATGTTTCCCTGAAACTTAGGTCAGAGACTTTATGTTTGGCCTTGCATCACAGAGTGACATCAGTGTGTACAAGGACTATGTAGAGGGTTTTAAAAACTACTTGTTCCAGGAGGACTAGTCATACCTACTTTTGGAATGAGCAATTCAAGAAATACTGAGTGTGTGACTAGATCTTGGGTCCAGATGAAATAACACACAGTTCATTGGTCACATTTAAAAGATGGCTGTGGAGGAAAAAACAAAAACAAAAGGCTAGTGTATCTGACTTGTAAAGACAGACTAGAAGAAAACTGGAAGAGTAAATACCATAGCTTTTTGAAAACTTTGGGTTTGTGAACATTAGTATGTCAGAGGAGAAAACTTGTTTTCCAGAAGGGGAGGGGATGACCTTAAACAGTTATTCAGAGTATCTAATGGATTATACCTGGATATATTATTTAAATCTCGAATTTGAGGGCTACAAATTTGATGTTCTTTTAAAGAAAAAAGTCGGTTTACAAGAAGCTTATGAACCATTTTATTCACTCATAAGATCAGTCATGCCACCTTTTTTTGGTCAGAATACATTTCTGCTCCAGTTACCACAAAAGTTTTTTGTCTTTTCAAATTTTTTATGGCATTCTTATCTTTGTTCATATTTTGTAATAGCACATGTCCATGGATGTGATCTTGATTTATAAGATCAACATAATTGTGTGTGTATGCACATGTGTATGTGACAGTATTTTGTGTTTACCTGATCTTTAAACATTTGCTAAAAAGATTCTTTTAAACACAAGGAAGCACCACTATTTTAATGGTTTTTCTTAATACTGAGTTGGTTACAGTTTGTTAAGGTAGAAAATCAGAGATTTCTCAAAAGTAGTAGCAGATGAGTGAGTATATGATATTCTCATCTTAGGTTCCCAATGGCTTCTAGGTAATAGTAAATTGTGTCAAGTCTTCTCTTCTCCGGCTCCTCCCCCACTGTGCCCTAATTGAGTAGCTTTAAAATGTCCCTAGTAATATTGTTACTTTAAATTTATGACACTAATTTCTAATTTAAGCTAGGCATAACACCAGCATCTATTGAACACATTTGCTAAAAATACTTTCTGGGTCGGATGTACTTAGAATGCAGCCTCTGGAAAATTCACTTGAACTATTCTACTGTGACCAGTTGTGGATATTATTTTTAAAAGAACTTTAATAAAATTACAGAATCTTATAAAGTAGACTTTATCAAGTTTAGGCATAAGTGCGACCTTTTAATATATAAAATGAGACAATAATAAATTTATGTGTGATAGCAATAGAAACTTTTTCAGTTTTTCAGAGAACTTATGTGAACTCTATTGATTCTTAAGTACTCTGGCTTGTATACCTGAAATGTGTTAATTTTATGTATTGCATATGTAAGATGATGTACAGTGTGGATTGTTATTTATTTAGTACTTATGGCCTTTCCTCAACTGTGAAGGGGAGATCAGTAGTTACGTTTTTGAGTAAATTATTTTTAAGGAACAAAATACGAGTTAAATAAACGATATGCTTATTGAGAGTACTTCTTTCCTCCTCAGAGTTTGGTTGTTTAAAAGCAAGAAACCTTAAACAAACAAACAAACAAACAAATAAAAAAACAAACATGTAGGAGTCTAGTCTTGTTTGGTAGATAGATCTTTAAGGGCGAATCATTTAAAGGTCTGTTTGAAGTCTTCATATTAAGAATGCAAAATTGGTGAATTTCTTAGGAATGCAAGTCTATGTGACTTAATGTAACTAAGTAGAAATTGTTACTCATAAATGAAATTTGCTTTTGATAGAAATATACTGGTTTATAAACTGTTTTGTTATTTTTCTGGATTTTTGGATATAACAAAGTTTTTAAATGAGGTGTTCAGAGATGTTAGATTTATTTGCTCAGTAGAAGCCTTAAAGATTAATTTCTGGAAGTTGGATTTTTTGGGGGGAGGAGGCTAGTAAAGTACTGTAGAGAAACATATTGGTATGTTTTCATGTAATGTTCAATCAGTACATATAGTGAGAAGAAACATAATGAAATAATACAGAATATTCTTTACTAGCATAGAAGAACAGTTGTCTAGAAACTGTACAATTTGTTTTATATTCTTTGAATGAGAATTCAGTATAGTCATAAAATACAAGAGATGTTTATTATGCTCACAGTTATTTTTTATTTCATTATTCCCTAGTAGAAACAGTGGAAGAAAGGTGTGAGTATTTGAAGAAATTGCTAAGAACTGAATACTTGAAGAAATTGCTAAGAACTGAATGCTTATCCTAAGATTAATTTGGGAGGCTCACTTATTTCTGTCTTCTCACAGGAGGTTATGTAGAGTACTAGAAAGAAAAGAGGATCCAGAGGAGAAAGAATGTTAGTATTTATTATCTGTTGAGTTCCAGACAGTGTACATATAAAAAAGTTATTTCACTTAATCATCTACTTTTGACATGTGTTTATTAGTTCACCCTTATGTCAACCTTGTGCCATTTGCTCCTGTCCAAGCGGAATTCAAACCATACCTATCCCATGCTAAAGCTTGTTCTTTAGAACAGTGCAGTCCAGTTAAGTTTTCTGTAATGATGAAATTACTTTGCCCTCTTTCCCACATTTATTGAAGTGAAGTTGACATATATGGGGGAAGTATTTTTTCCCTACCCTGTTAGATATGGTAGCTGTTAGCCATGTGTAGGGTGTGGAACACTTGAAGTGGGATTGGTCTGTGTGAAAAACTGAGGCTGATGTTGCATTTTGTTTTAATCATTTTAAATTTCTAGCCAACTGTGGTTGCTTGTTACATGGTCTGAGTTAGCATAGTTTTAAGATCTTTCTTCTTAGAAAATCTGAGGTCTGGTATTCCATCTTCCACGGGTTTACACAACTTACTTAATTCTTGAGCTTTGGTTTAATCTGTTGAGAAAATGAAGGGATTACCAAGGCTCTTTTGCTTTAAAGGTCAGTAACTTCTTAGAACATACAGTGGCATTTAATATTCACAGGCATTATTTCTGAAGGAATTCTCCCTCCCCATTGAGTTCATCACTCATATAAAGAATTTATTTTTGAGAAGAATATTAAGTACACAAAGTAAGGGGTTATTTTCTGTATATACTCCTATACACAGTTGTTTGGTGAAAGCATTGTGTGACCCAAAGCAGTACTTTATCGTTTTATTTGTTCCAACACAGGGTCAAGGTGATGCTAGGTCAGTGCTCTGCCACTGAATAAAACTGAATAAAAACTGAATCTTTAAAAATCCCATTTTTTTTTTACATTAGCAACTTTACAAAACAGAATTTCTGAACATGACAGTGGACTCATAAAGCAACAGGAAAGAAAAAAATTCTTGCCACTTTCTCATGTAGGATATATAGCAGTTCCTGGTACTTATAAAATTAATTAACCTGTTTGCTGGGCCTTGAAGACTTTTCTCCCAGTTTGATCTTACTGACCCTATTTCTTATTCTTGCTTAAAACAACATTGTTTTCTCTTTCACCCTTGTCTCCTCAGTTTATACATTTTTGATTCTTCAGCTCATACCTCTTAAGTTTTCCCCAGAACTCACCTTTTTGTTAGATAATCCAGTCAAAATGATCTGGGTTTCATATTTGGCAGTAAGTACCTTGGGGTATATTTTTTAGATATAATTCTGTATATTTTTCTACATTAATTTAAAACAAGTTTTCATGTATGTGTTCACATGTGTGTGCATGTGTGTTACCCGTGCAGGTTCATGTAGAGACCAGAAGTCAACACTGTGATGTCTTCCTCGGTCCTTATTCCCCTTTATTTTTATTTATTTTTCAAGTTAGGTTTCTTACTAACCCTGGACTAGAGTTTAGTGGTTCTGACTAAACTGGCTGGCTGATGAGCTTGTTTCCCCTGCCTAGTGCTTGTGTTACTGGTGTGTGTCACCATTTTCAGTTTTTGAAAGGTGTTAGGAATTCAAATTCAGCACCCTACTCTGAGCTTTCTGCCCAGACCCACCACCTCATCCCTCCCTCCCTTCCTTTTTTCTTTTCTTTCTTTTTTTTTTTTTTTGTTAGTTTTATCTAATAAGAACATTTAAAACAAGAGTTGTTTCTTTTCTGTTGTTTCAAGAGTTCAGCTTCTGTTCAGCAATTTGTTTCTTTTTTTTTTTTTAAAGAAAG